TTTCCAGGGCTTCCCTATATGTTTATATGTATGGCTGGTGTAGTTGATATGATTCGCGTGAGTATGTGAATAAGACCTTGGAGGGTTCCCATGGCATCTTTATATGTGTATATGCATGCTTATGCGATTGTTACGGTTTATGTAGCTGTTATAGCTGATATGGATTATATGGTTATGTGGATTGTGTGGGGTATGCTCTGGGAAACTCACTAAGCTTCGTGCTTATAGTTTTGTTTATGGTTTCAGGTATCATCGATCTGGAAAAGAAGGGTTCAGGTTGATCGCAGTGCACACACCTATGATTTCCGCAATGAATGATTTTGGGATAAACTCTGATAAATATTTTACTTAATGACGATTTAAAATGTTTGAAATAAATGGTATTAGTGCTTTAGCTACATTTAAAAATGAAATTTTTACCATTGTTTTTTGGGTAGTTACAATACAGTTGAAAGTATTATGAGAAAAATATACATTCAATGATCTACAACTTATTCAATGATAAAAACTAGAATAACATCATCTTACTTTGTTTTTCTTTCGGTTTATGCAACAAAATGAATGAATTCATCGATCCACAACCTGCAACTAAGAGAAATGAAAATCAATTTAAAAAAAAAAACATTTTTCAGACCTTCTAACACTATGTAAAATACTCAAAAAGCAAATTTAGAAAGTCAAACTTACAACTGATTAACTTATGGTCGAGAAAGTGGTGGAAACTTGATACTCCATCCTTTGATGGAAGATAATTTTTTGTTGAAAAGCCCTGAATCTCACCGCTGCTAAGACGGTTACCAAGACGTATACCGGTGATGTTGTTGCGTAGTTGATTTTCTTCTCCACGTTTGCAGCCGCTGGCAGGACTGCCGCTAACAACCAAAATCCCCCCCAAACCCATGTCTTCACAATAACAACAACAAAAAATACATATGCATATATCAGAAATTACCCAGATATTCCTAACGGAAATAATAACGTGAAACCCGAAGATTTGTGTAGTCGGAATCCAAAAACAGGACATTTTTTTAAGTTGTAGGGCTTCTAGAGAGAGAATAATATGAAGATTTGTGTAGTCGGAATATCTCTTCTCCTTTGGTGGGTCTTAAGAAACCCAATTTTGTCAAGAGAAAGCGGTGGGAAGCACTGCAAGTGTTGTAGAAGATGGATTAGAGGATGAAGATGATGAGAAATAACGTGGAGGAACTGTTTGTGTTGGTGAAAGGTTTTGAGAATGAAGGATTCCTAGAGGAGCTTGAAGTGTTGATTTGGGGGGGGGGGGGGGGCGAAAATAAAAATGTATAAAAATTGAAGAATAGGAAGGAGGTGGGCGAAGTCAAAATTTATAGTTTTAGGCTTAATATGTAAAAATTTTAATAGTTAAGGGTTAGTTATGAAAAAAAAATAGGGGGGGCACAACCCCTCCTGGCCCTACATAAGTTTCGTCCCTGCCCAGAGATGTTGAAGAAGAATGATGAATCGACGAACCCTGAGTCGGTGATTCTGACCACCAATCGTAATCTAATTCGCTTACAGATTGTGGGGGGGGGGGGGGGTGTCAGTCAAACTTCAAAACAGTTAAATATGGAGTCAAATAAGTCCAAATATTAATATATATATATATATAATATATATATATATTATATATATATATATATATATATATATATATATATATTAGAGAGACGAAACAATAAATTGAAAAAAGAAATGGACTAAAGATGGCATAACACACCAACTTTAGTGTTACTAACTTTGAAATCTTATATATATATATATATATATATATATATATATATATATATATATATATATATATATATATATATATATATATATATATTGAAAAGAAAAAACATCATAAATGGTCCTTGTGTTTTCCCAGATTCTGAAGCTTAGTCCCCGTGGTTTAAAAATCTCATAGATGGTCCCTGTGTTTTCAAAACTTTTGACGATTGGTCCTTATTGCTAACTCCGTTAACTTTTGTCCGTTAATTGAGGGGCGTTTTTGTCATTTCACACCACAGGGACCATTTATGATCTTTTCAGTTATTTAAAAAAAATGAATTAATATGCAAATGAAGGGTCTCACCCTCTCTCTCTAAATTATTTAAATCCAATTTATCCAACGTGAGAGAAGCTAAACTGTCGGGGATTAATTTGATAAGATCATTGCTGTTGATGTTGAATTCTTTGAGTTCAGTTAAATCGCCGATGGAATCAGGAATCTTGCCGGAAAAGTGATTTTCGTGAAGCCATAGTTCCGATAACATTAATGGAACCACTCATTCCGACTCCTGATTGACCATTTGGCCAAAAGATTCTTACACCCGACTCGTTGAATGTCGCCGGAATTCTACCGGAAATCCAATTCATCAACAATTTTAGATCCCCAAAAGACTGCATAAGTCCGAGAAATTCCGTCAAAGTTCAGGCCAAATTGTAACTCATCAATGAATGATTCTGTAATTGGGCGGAATTCTGAAGATCAATCAGAATCGACCAATCGGTGGTAGCTTTGAGAGGGTTGCTATCCAAAGCTAAAACCTCTAAACTGTCGAGTCCAAGGAAGAAATCCGACGAAACTGAATCAAATTGGCCATAACTGAAATACGCCCACCTCAAATCCGTCAACCCATTTAACGAAGGTAAAGCTTCGATGAACTGATTCTTTTGAAACCTAAATTCGTAAGCATTGACAATTGATTTAAATTACTCCGGCAAAACACCCTTCAAGTTCATACCCTCAGCAAAGCGGGGTCCCACCCTCTTCGAATTTCCTCCACTGTCGAATGAGAAAAACATCAAAATCTTGATTCTTCTTCTTCTGAAGCTTCATATCTGGAAAGGGGGTTGATTTTGATTTCATCTTCAAACCATATGCGTTTTGTAAACCCATATTGGAATCAGGTTTTTATTTCTAAACCATACACATTAAAACCATAGCAGATGACGAATTAACGCTCACAGATTCAATCTCACCTTTCGAACAGAGCCTGAATCTGAACAACGAGTGAACCGAGTGATGTTCGACATTTACTGGCTCAACAACACACTCACCGGAGTCTGCAGGCCTTGTTATTCTCCGAATTGTTCATTGTTTTCTTCTTCATTCCATCTCCCTTCTTCGAAATTGTTGGAAAAACAAACAAACCCAAAATCCCAAATTCTTTTATAAACAAAGTTCTTGAATTTTGGTAACCATCATCATTCTATTGATAAGATTCGTCATATTCTTCAAAATTTATAGTGGCGAAATGGATGATTGTAGCTAAAGATGAATAAACGGAAAGTGGGTGTTGTGAATCGATTTGGGAAACACCCATTTGAGATGGATCTGTGAATTGGATTAAATTAAGTGATATATTTGGAGAGAGACCCCTTTGCATATTATTTCATTTTCTTTTAAATAACTGAAAAGATCATAAATGGTCCCTGTGGTGTGAAATGATGAAAATACCCCTCAATTAATGGATAAAAGTTAACGGAATTAGCAATAAGGACCAATCGTCAAAAGTTTTGAAAATACAGGGACCATCTATGAGGTTTTTAAACCATGGGGACTAAACTTCAGAATCTGGGAAAACACAGGGACCATTTATGATGTTTTTTCTATTGAAAATTTCTTAATTTTTAGCTATTTTAGAAAAAAAAAAAAAAACTATTTTTACCTCTATCTCTTAAAACACCTTACTTTGAAAGTTTAGTATTAGCCACGTTTGTTGTACCATATTTTCACTTGTCACCTAACTCCTCATACTATATATATATATATATATATATATATATATATATATATATATATATATATATATATATATATATATATATATATATATTATATATATATATATATATATATAGTATTAGCCACGTTTGTTGTACAATATTTTCACTTGTCACTAACTCCTCATACTCTATATATATATATATATATATATATATATATATATATATATATATATATATATATATATAATATATATATATATATATATATATATATATATATATATATATATATATAAATATAAGGTTAGGTTCATTTGAGATCACCTATATTTTGTGAGACCGTAAGATGCATTTTTTTATTTATTTTTATTTTTTTTAGTTAATTCATGTTCCGAAAATAATATTTAAAAAAAGAATTTTTTGATTTTTCCATTTATTTTGCATTTTAAAATTATTTTTAGAATATGTACAGTGTAATATTCTATTTAGAATATTTCACGTATTTTTAAAAAAAAATAGAATTTTTTTATTTTTTTTTATTTTTTTTAGTTAATTCAAGTTCCGAAAATAATATTTAAAAAAAGAATTTTTAGATTTTTCCATTTATTTTGCATTTTAAAATTATTTTTTAAAATATGTCAGTGTAATATTCTATTTAGAATATTTCACGTATTTTTCAAAAAAAAAAACGGAATTTTTTTTTTTTTTTTTTATATATTTTTTAGTTAATTCAAGTTTCGAAAATAATATTTAAAAAAAGAATTTTTGGATTTTTCCATTTATTTTGCATTTTAAAATTATTTTTAGATTTGGTCTCACGGTCTCACAAAATTAGAATGGTTTCAAATGAATCTGAATATATATATATATATATATATATATATATATATATATATATATATATATATATATATATATAATATATATATAATTTTTATTTTGCGTGCGATAAGCCCATAACAAACACTTATTTCTTCAAATATTATAGGGTCGAGTCAATAAATATTTAAAGTCAAAAGGTCTCTTCCTTGGGTCAAACCATCCAAGGGCAAAATAATTTAATGTCATTTTCGTAAATAATCCAGAAATCACGGGTGCACATATATCAAAAATATTCAGGACATCGTCACATCTGTTTCTCACTCCTCCCCTTTTTGCTCTCTCTTCGTCTTCTTCTCGACAACAGGAAACATCTAGCCCAGAAGAACGCTCAGATCTGTGACCACAAAAGCTTCGCGAAAACCTAATCCAGTGTACAATATTCGTAAGTAATATTTCCTGCTTCATCGTTATTATAAATGTACTTGCTTTTCGTACGCTTTTGATACATTGAGTACACTGTTAGCTCTTGTATGGACATGAAGTCGACGTTTGCTCGAGATCTATGACTTTCGAAGTTTGCAAATAGTTGAATTTTGAAATCAACTGTTCCTTGGTCATAGATTGGGGTGCATTTGTGCATTATTGAGGTTTTAGGGAGGTCAATTGGTTTAATTAGAGTATGTGTTTTTTGATGATATCAGATCTTAATTCTTCGACGATTGTTTAGTTTTTGACTTTTTGTGTATTGAAGATAGGTTTGAGTGGAAATGAACTTTTTGATATATTATCATTTTTTTTTTCTCTGTATATGCAGTTACATATATAGATTCATTATCGAAGTTTTAGGGAGACAAAATTGCTTAGTGAGTTGCGTGTTTTTTTTTTTAAAACGATTGTTCGTTTTTTGTGTAGCGGAGATAGGTTTGTGTGGAAATCAACTTTTTTATTTCGTATCATATTTTCTCCGTAAATATAGTATTTTAACAAAAAAAATTTATGTACGCAAATTAATGTCCTTCAAATTGTGAGTGTTTTGAAAATAGAGTTCCTTTTGTGACCAATTGTAGTTACTGTAGTTATAGATTGAACGATGCAAATCATGATGGATTAGTAGATATGCTGCATCCTGCATATGCATATTATTCGTTTTGCATATTATGCTGCACTTGTGTATCTAGTGTGTTCTACACAAATGTCCAATAGATTTACCATATCCCAAATTCCTACAAAAGAACTTATGTTGGCTTATCTATATAATTAGAGTAGTATGCAACAATCTAGAATGAATACCATGCAGACGTCTAGTCAACCACTCTTATGTAAAGTGGCTGGTGATAACATGATCATTCTGTTGGGAATCTCTCTACCTGAACATCTATGTTTCTCCTACTTTTTATTCTATCAACAATAGTTGACTGGTTTAAGTATCCCAACCATGTTTTAGCAAATTGCAGCTAATAAGTTTGCCATTTTTCACATTGGTATTTCATACAACTTTTGATTGCTAACTGGTGATGCAGGCTAGGTAGATTGGGGTGATACAAAATGGCAGAGGTGGATTTTCAAAATCCTCTTCTTGGCGATACAACCTGTGGTTCGTTACTGCATCAGTTGCAGGTGAAATATGATTTCACATTATCGTTTTCCATTTTTGTTGTTCAAGAAATTTGTTATTTATTTTCCACTTTCACTCACATAATCTCAGCTAGAATGAAGTGACTAATAATGTTTATGGGAAGGTTAACTTTTTGTGGGCACTAAACCGACGATTGAGTGATAATTTCTATATTAATGCAGAAAATTTGGGATGAGGTTGGTGAAAGTGACGAGGAAAGGGATAAGATGCTTCTTCAGCTAGAACAGGAGTGCTTGGATGTGTACAAGAGGAAAGTTGACCAGGCTGCAAAGTCAAGGGCACACCTTCTTCAGGCACTGGCAGATGCTAAACTTGAACTTTCAACCCTTCTTGCATCCCTTGGAGAGAAAACGTTTGTTGGAATCGTACGTATCTTGTTGTTTTTTGTAACAAGAGAAATAGACAAATCATGCACCTTTTCTGTATATCATGTTGACTTATATGTAGCCTGAGAAGACATCAGGAACCATTAAGGAACAACTTGCTGCTATTGCACCTGCTCTAGAACAATTGTGGAAGCAGAAGGAAGAGAGGATAAAGGATTTCTCAGATGTACAAACACAAATACAAAAAATATGCGGAGAAATTGCAGGGAGTAGTAATCAGCAGGCAGGAAGCCCAAAAGTTGACGAGTCTGACTTATCCTTGAAGAAATTGTCAGAATTCCATGACCAGTTAAAAGAGCTCCAGAAGGAGAAAGTACAATTTTACCCTCAACCATTTAGCCAGTCATCTGTTTAGTTATAGACACTACTGACACTGATAGTAACATTGATTTTTTGTTAGAGTGATAGATTGCACAAGGTCCTGGAACTTGTGAGCACTGTACATGACCTTTGTGCTGTCCTTGGGATCGATTTCTACAGTACAGTGACAGAGGTGCATCCAAGCTTAGATGATGCAACTGGGGTGGGCTCCAAAAGCATAAGCAATGACACCCTAGCTAGGCTTGCTAAAACAGTTATAGCTTTAAAAGAAGATAAGAAGCAGAGGTTAAAGAAGGTATGGCATTGTCCACCTCCTTATGTCTCTCCTAAAATCATATTCTGACATGTTTTTCTTTCTGTTCTGCAGCTTCAAGAGTTAGCAACTCAGCTAATTGATCTTTGGAATTTGATGGATACGTCTGAAGAAGAGCGTAGTTTGTTCGATCATGTTACTTGTAACATCTCAGCTTCAGTGGATGAAGTAAATGTCCCAGGGGCTCTTGCTCTTGATTTGATTGAACAGGTATCAAAAAAGCCTTAGTTGTTCTTTTAAGAAACAAAATAAGGAGTGTGGTTAGTAATTCATATGATTTTGTTATGTAGGCTGAGGTGGAAGTTGAAAGGCTAGATAAGCTTAAATTTAGCAGAATGAAAGAGATTGCATTTAAGAGGCAAGGCGAGCTTGAAGAGATTTTCGCACATGCACACATTGAGATCGACTCACAAGCTGCTAGAGAGAAAATTTTGTCGCTGATTGATTCTGGGAGTGTCGAGCCTTCTGAGTTGCTAGCAGACATGGATAATCAAATCATAAAAGCCAAGGAAGAGGCAATCAGTAGGAAAGATATATTGGATAAAGTTGAGAAGTGGATGTCAGCATGTGAAGAAGAAAGCTGGCTTGACGATTACAATAGGGTAACCTTTAACCCTGAAAAATTAATAGCTGAAATATGTTGTTGATGGTTTAATTTTTTGGCTTCATATTCATAACAGGATGACAACAGATATAATGCAAGCAGAGGTGCACACTTAAATCTGAAGCGAGCAGAAAAGGCCAGAATCTTGGTCAACAAAATTCCGGGTAATATGCCAGCCAAACTTTTTGTTTCTGTTGGCATGGGGGCTATAATAATTTGTTAATTTTTTTTATCCAATGCTTGCATTAGAGTTATTCGATCTCTTGCAGAGATTTTTACTATAATATAAATTTGACTAAACTACATAATCATCCCATGGTTCTGCAAAAAATATTCATACTTAACCTTTTTACGTCCCTGAAAGCAAATATGGATTGTAACCCTTCTACTCCAAAGCTGATGAAAAAATGACTATTTTGCCCTTATTTGAAAAAAATAATATAAGCGTAAAGTAGTCATCCTTAGGCTGGCTAGAGACGTAATGGATTACTACAATACTTGCTTTCAGGGACGAAAAAGGTGAAAAGTTTAGGACGAGGACCAAATGTGTAACCATAGGAACACTTTATGTAGTTTAGTCTATAAAATTTCAGTGGTTTATTGACTTTTTTTTAGGTTTATTATGTCTGTGTTTGGTGCATTTAGATGATACAGCAGAATAGAATAGTAGAATAAATGCAATGCAATGCAATGCAGGTCTTGTGGAGACTTTGGTGGTGAAAACCAGAGCATGGGAAGAGGAACACGGACTTACATTTGCATATGACGGTGTTCCACTGCTTGCGATGTTAGACGAATATGCTTTACTCAGGCATGACAGAGAAGAAGAGAAACGAAGAATGAGGGTTAGAAAATTCTAGTTATTACTATAAAATGAAAATGTAGTAGTCAAAAAGTCAATTTGGTTTTGGAATTGTTTGTGACACTACGTACCCACCTACGTACAGGACCAGAAGAAGTTTCATGAACAGCTAAACACGGAACAAGAAGCAATATTCGGTTCAAGACCGAGCCCGGCGCGACCACTTAGCAGTACAAAGAAGGTGGTGGGACCACGTGTGAATGGTAATGGAACACCAAACAGAAGGCTGTCTTTGAACCAAAATGGAGGTACTGCTAGGTCAGGCAAGAGAGACAGTGCCAGACCAATTGCTCCTTTGAACTATGTGGCCATATCAAAAGAGGATGCTGCCTCACATGTCTCGGGTACTGAGCCTGCCCCAGTTACACCTTAAGAGAACTTGACTTGAGTAAGTATAAAATGTTTCTTTAGGATCCTACCTACCTACCTACTATCAACTCTCTCTCTCTCTCTCTCTCTCTCTCTCTCTCTTGTGATTGCATGTTACTACTTACTATAACCAGATTCATAATATGCGTCTTTCGAGACTGGGAGTGGATATGAGAGAGACTTTAGCTTAGCTTAACTTGTGTGCATGATATATGATATGATATATTAGCATCTATTACTTACCTAACTGCTATTTCCTATTGGCATGTTTGCTCAAGATTTTTTCTTCTTTGGTTTATGTTTATGCTTATGTTGGTTGATGACACAACAATTAAGTGAAGTAACCCAAGGTCAAATCAGAAATTGAATAGCGGTGACAACAAGTGTGTGAAACACAACCTTAGGACATGGGTGGTTGCCCCCTACAAATCACGGTTGATATATGAATGGATTTGATCTATGTTTCTCATAGGGATAGGGATAGCCATGGGATGTGTAAACTTGATCCCATATCTGCTGCTTATAAATCTGGATTCCAAACTGGATCCTATCGCATCAGGTATCCAGTTAATAAATAACCACACGCCTTTGCGGGTATCAACTATCATACTTTATCAACTTAATATTTCATCACAATCTCATCAAAAAATGACTTAAAATTGTAAGTTTTTGAGTTTGAGGGTCTCAGCTTTGCGATCTTAATTTTGAGTTCTTAAGTATTTTAGTTAAATATTATGGATTAGGATATAAGTAGTACTTACATAACAAGCTTCCCATTCCTAATTTCGCATATAACATTAATATTATAAGTTTTATAAAAACATAATACTAATATCATAGCCATCTCAAACCATGGAGTTTTTATGAAAGTTTCATACCCGGTCGTAGATATATATTATATTATAAAATATAAATAATCTATGAAAAATCTAATTCTATTAACTCTAATAATTTTAACTCAAATATAACTCTACTAATTTTAACTTCAAATCCAACCTTATCAAGTGTGTTTATATTCATAAAATAAGACATACTTTACATATTTGGTGGTGAATATAGGCGATAAAATGGATAAGATTAAGCAAGTTACGTTACTATTTTATTGTCTTGAGTGGGTAAAAAACCATATCGCTATTATAGACTTATAGTAATACAATTGTTTTAAATAAAACGATTTATAATACCAACTAAATACATTTTCGAGTGACTTTTGACAGTTTCTCCTGTAATTTAAAAAAAAAAAAATTATATACTTTTTTTTTTCGAAAGAGAAAAGTTTATATACTTTATTTATTACAAATAAAAATTAAAACCATAAATTATCGGACATTTATAAAACTAAGAAAGCCAACAAAATGTTGCCCATTGGGAAACTAGCATAGAGATAAAAATCATAAGATATAGCTTAACACAAGTGAAACGGCGATATTGGATTTTGGTTGTACACACTAACATGAATCCTTAGTTTCCTCCTATTGGTCCAAGTTCATGACCAATGTCTTATCTATTGACTTTGCTTCCTAGGAATTACCCCTAAAGATAACTATGTTCAAACATCTTATGACAGCCCATAACTCCACACACAAATCCAACCTATATATATGTATATATAATCCCAAATCCAAACTAGCCTTGTTTCAAAAAACAAACATGGGGTCTATACTAGACTTCTTGAAACCTATATGCTTGTTCGCCAATCGTAACAAGAAGAACAAGCACAAGAAAAGACACCAAAATGGTCAGAAACAGAAAGACGAGAAAAAAGAGCAGCTTTTGAAGAATAATCAGCTAACATTACAAGACTGTATTTTAAGTTCACCTAGCCTCAACAAATCGTCACCGTTGCCATTGGCTACTTCTAGCAAACGGGTTCATCCTAACCCTTCATTTGTTACCGAGAACGTCTCCATGGAAACACAAACACTCCTGTTAGGGGACCATTTGAATCCTCTGTTTGAATATGATAACAATGATGATGATGATGATGATGATGTTGATGATGATGAAATGGGAATGGGAATCAAAAAGACAAAGAAGAGAGTCAGCTTTAGAACACCTGAGGTTGCTGATATTTTCATATTGACTATTGAGTCTCCTGAGCTACAAGATTTTCAGGTTATCTGACATTTGATCTTTTTGCAATCTTTCAACTTTTATGTCTATCGATCTCGACCCATTTTCATCTCACAATTTCTTCTAGGGTTACCAAACTAATAACAGGAAAAGAAAAAGAAAAAAAAACAAGAAAAAGAAAAAAAAAAACAAGAAAAAGAAAATTGACGGTTTGGTTTCTCATTACCAAAGGAACAAAGATTGAAGATTGGTTTGGCTTTTTGTTTTTAAGCCGAAAAGACTGTATCTTAATGAGATGTTCTTATTTTGATATGTATGAGATTCATGTTTAATTAATTATTTAAACTTTTTATCAGTTATACTACGGCTCCACTCTATAAAATGTTTCATTTCTTAAATATCTCTAGCCCAAGGCACTTAAAGCCCACATGCCTAGAGGAGAGGGTAGGGTGCTCTCGGATTTGATAAGAAAGACAGGCCTCCAAGTCATTTTACATGTAGGAAAAAAGACAAACCATAGGCTTGAGGCATCTGTCATCTTAGTTTTTTGGCTTCTATTAAACTCTAGTTGTATTTTTGGATGTTGATCTCTAGAGTGTTTTTGGCTATATATTGCAAAATTCAACAAGTTTCTTCATGTTTTCATGAACTTTGACTCCAACATGTCCATGTATTCAATTGCTATATAGTTGCTGTCTGCAACTGAAAAAAAAAGGTAATGTTTTATGAGGATAGGAGAAAAAAAAATTGACCCAACATGCAATCTATAATTCATCCTCGGGCGCAAACTCCACTAAATTGTGATAAGGCAAGCTCGAACTCAAATTAATAGCTAAATACTATAGTAGCGTCTGGCTCAAGAAACATTCAAGCTTTGATATGAGAAACCAAGCAAATGGAACCTAACGGTTTGACTAAATCAAAAACGTCTATACAAACACGTTTGATAAAAGCCAAACTTACAATGTGCACGTTTGATACAAGCCCAACTCTTGTACATGCATATTAATGATATGGGCTTTGATTCTCGGATTTTGAAAATTTGGTCCCATCAAGTTTTCTTGCAAATCTTTTTTATTAAATGAATATATATATATATATATATATATATATATATATATATATATATATATATATATATATATATATATATAATATATATATATATATATATTTGTTATTTATTACACTCTCATTTAATTTGTTAAATATCGTTTTGTGGTTATTTTAAATTAATCTTTTTTTTCCATATATCATTTTATGAGTTTTTTATTTGATTAAATTCTACATATTATTTTAATGTAATAATTACAATAAATGTAGCAATAAATTGATATTAATTTCATTAATAAACTTATATTTTAATTTCAAAATTCCCAAAATTAAAGGTCATTAGTTTCTTTTTTTATTTAAATTACTTAATTGTTTAAATTTAAAAGATAAAAAACATTTTCATTATAATAATTCATTATTTTTTTCTTATAAGTTCAAAGTTCTCAAATATTTTGACCTTTATATTTATTTATTTTTAATTAAAATTAACCAATGTAATACATGAGTCACACAAATAGTTTGTACTTATTTAAGGTTCTTGAGGTGAATCTACTATCTCTATCAGAGATAATAGATATGGGTACACTATGCAGTCGTAATATCTCTCGGATGGTCAATTTCTCCATCTTGTTTGTTTCTTTGATTTGATGGAAATGGGCAGACTTGGTTAATCTGTTGACGATCACCCGGATAGTATCGTGACCACCCCATGTCTTTGGCAACTTGGTAATGAAATCCATTGTAATCCGCTCCCACTTCCACTCAGGTATTTCTGGTTGCACCTGAGGGCTTTTGATATTCTACATTTACTTTGGCGCAAGTTAGACACTTGCTCACGTAGGTAGCAATCTCTGCTTTCATGTTTGACCACCAATAGAGTTTCTTGAGATCCAAATACATCTTATCTAAACTTGGGTAGACGGAGTATCGAGTCTTGTGTGCTTCATTCAAGACAACCTCCTTGTAACCACCGAATTTTGGGGTCCAGATCCGGTCCATGAAATAACGAACTTTGTCTCCCTTGATCTCAAAGTTCTTCTTCATTTCCCTTAAGGCTTCATCTGCCACATTTTCTGGTTTTAAGGCTTCTAGCTGAACCTCTTTGATTTGCGTGGACAGATGGGAATGGATTATCATGGTTAGTGTCTTCACCCTACGACCTGAGTACTCATTTCGACTAAGGGCATCAGCTACTACATTGGCTTTACCAGGATGATAGCGAATTTCGCATTCGTAATCATTGAGTAGTTCAAACCATCGTCGTTGTCTCTGTTAAGTTCCTTCTGATCAAATATGTGTTGAAGGCTTTTGTGGTCGGTGAAGATAGTGCACTTGGTACCGTAAAGATAATGTCTCCAGATTTTTAGTGCACAGACCACTGCTCCTAACTCAAGATCGTGAGTTGTGTAGTTGACTTCGTGCGCCTTAAGGTGTCTTGAGGCATAAGCAATAACTTTTCCTTGTTGCATAAGCACACATCCTAGCCCTTGATTGGATGAAATCACAGTATACAACGAAATCTTATGTCCCTTCTGGAAGAGAGAAGATAGGTACGCTGCACAGGGCTTGCTTTAAGGTTTGGAACGCAGTGTCTTGTTTTTCTCCCCAATTAAAAGTTACACCCTTCTAAGTCAGGGTAGTAAGTGGCTTAGCGATCATAGAGAAAGTTTGTATGAACCTGCAATAGTAGCCAACAAAACCCAAGAATTGACGGATTTCTGTGGGCGTTCTCGGTGCTGACCAATTCTCGATTGCCTTTATTTTGGAAGGGTCCACATGTATGCCTTCTTCGCTAACCACGTGACCAAGGAAAGTTACCTTCCTAATCCAAAACTCGCACTTTGAGACTTTCGCGGGAAGCTTTTCCGCCCTCAGTGTTTCTAGTAATCATCTTAAGTGTTGGCTATGTTCTTCCTCGGTTCGTGAATAACTAAGTATATCATTTATGAACACTATCACGAATTTATCTAGAAAAGGGCGGCACACCCGATTCATTAAGTCCATGAACACGATGGGTGCATTGGTTAGACCAAAGGGCATCACTACAAATTTGTAGTGACGATATCGGGTTCAGAATGTTGTCTTGGGAACATCACTCTCTTGGACTCATAATTGGTGATACCCCGATCGCAGGTTTAT